TCTCCTGTTGATAAGCGTAAAGAGATGTGTGTCTGTTGCGCGTGTGACACTTCAATGTTGCGGGCTATTCTCGCACTCACACAGGAAATGAACTTTATTTTTTCACACCCGGTCAGAGTTTTCTGCTGATAAACACGACCAATATGCAAAACACGAAAAGGGGTATTAAAAGTTGCTAAAATAAGCAAAAATGAGTCACAAAACAAGCAAGCCTACATATTATTCTTTTATAAATGCAGTGCAAAGCTTGTGTTGTTGCGCAAATCCTTTAATTAAAGTGAGACTGTTCACCAATTCGCCAGAAGAGAGCAGCAGAAGAGTTTATTGTCAATACGCAATGACATGTGGGGGGAGGAGGGGGGGGGGGTCGCTTGGTGAGTTCCAAAGATCTAATTAATTTTATTAAACTATGTGAAAATAGTTTTTTTTAAAAAATAATAATAATAATAAAAAAGCATTATCAATCATGAACAACTTCAATCCGTTATTTCCTCCTCCACAGAATGTCTTATGGAAAAGTGGGAGGAAGAATTGGTAGTGGAAACTTAGAAGAAATGTGGCAATCGGGTTTGTAGGATATTAATAAACACTATATTAATTCTAGACATTGTTTAATTCAGTTAAAAATAATACATAGGTTACATTATTCAAAGAAAAAAAATACATAGAATCTTCTCATATATTTCACCTCTTTGCGACAAATAATTCATCAGGGTCTATCTCAAAGTTTTATTCTTTGTTCTAAGATACAGAGTTATGGGAATGGAATTTTTGAAGTGCTTTCCGAGATGTTGAGGTTGCAATTACAACTGGATCCAATGCTTTTAATTCTGGGATTCTCTGAACAAACGCATTTGTTGTCAAATACACAACATATTGTACATTGCTCTCATACTGTTTAACTACTGCCAAGAAAAGCTACTGCTACTGTTTTGGGGAAAACAAACAAAAAAGGAACCCCCTACATGTAAACTGTGGCTTGGAGAAATAACCTCTTTGTTACATTTGGAGCGAGTTAGATACTTTGAAATAAAAAACTCAAACAATTTGACAAAATTTGGCATCCTTTTATTTGTTACCTTGAAAAAAATTTGTGGATTAATGCATCGTTTCTGTAATGTTTTAATATGCTTAGTCACCATACTCTGTTGTTTAAACAGGACTTTTGGCTTTGGACAAGATGGCTTGTTATGTGGGCGATTTTTATGTATTATTATGATTTTCATTTAGTATCTTTTCATATGTAATCTTTTTTATCTTGTAATATGTAAACGCAATATATAAAACAGAGAATCCTTTTCTTTCTGAATCTCAAAAGAAAATGATCAAACTATTAGAATGAGCATATTTTATTTATAACCTACAGAAGGAAAAAAAATCTTTTAATAATTACTTTTGTAATAGTAACACACACACACACACACGCACGCACACACACACACACACACACACACACACACACACACACACACACACACACACACACACACACACACAAACATGCAAATAAATAGCCATCCTCCTTTCAAATTTTTTTTTGTGACCCCCTCTGTTGATTACATTATATTTAAGTTGTCAGAAAGTTTAACCTGGTGCTATAAAATCCATGTGCTGATTTTATAGCACCAGATTCAAATTTCTGACACCTTTAATCACTTACATTAAAAAAATAAATAGTTGTGAATTACTGCAATATACAGTTTTCAGTATACAAGTCATAATTATTAGCCCCCTTTGATTTTTTTTTCTTTTTAAAATATTTGCCAAATGATGTTTAAGAGAGCAAGGAAATTTTCACAGTATGTCTGATAATACTTTTTCTTCAGGAGAAAATCTTATTTGTGTTTTTTCGGCTAGAATAAAAGCAGTTTTTAATTTTTTAAAAGCCATTTTAGGGACAAAATTATTAGCCTCCTTAAGCTATATTTTGTTTTGATAGTCTACTGAACAAACCCTCTTTATGCAATAACTTGCCTAAATACCCTAACCTGCCTATTAAGATAATTAATCTAGTTAAGCCTTTAAATGTCACTTTAAGCAGAAGTGTCTTGAAAATTATCAAGTCAAATATTATTTACTGTCATCATGGCAAAGATAAAATAAATCACTTATTATAAATGAGTTATTAAAACTATTATGTTCAGAAATGTGTTGAAAAAATCTTCTCTTCGTTAAACAGAAGTTGGGGAAAAAAATAAACAGGGGGGCTGATAATTCAGGGGGCTAATAATTCTGACGTCAACTGTAAATGGCTCCTATGTACTTACATTACACCAGCTAAGCTGCATAGATTTAACCCAAATATTCCTGATGGTTGTACAAAATGCAATGAAGAAGTGGGTACCCTTTATCATTGTGTGGGAGTGCAATGAGATCCCAAAATTTTGGAAAGAGATTCTAATAATGATTGATAAGTTATTTGAAGAAAATATACATTTGGTTCCCAAACTATGTTTATTTCATACCCTGTAAACCCCAAATCTGAACACAAGCAAACGCAAACTATTATATTTTAGTTTACTCCAAGCCAAGCGTGTTATTGCTTTAAATTGGAAAAAAATCTCAAAGGCCATCCTGTGGCCAGTGGATTAAAGAAATGACTAGTAATCTTGCTCTGAAGAAGCTGACATACACTGCTAAAAGTTGAAATTACAAGACATTTATAAAATAGGGACCACCTTTAACACTTTTTGAACCAGGTGGGCCATGCAAGTTTTTGATGTTTGAGCTTTTAAACCCTTGTTGGTGTCTTCTTGTATTGTTCAGATGACTTACATTTCAGCAACAATGAACACATTTGTTTAACCAGTAACACTGCAAAGCTGTGAAACGCAAAATACAAAAATGTTGTTATTATTTATTTATTGCTTAATTATGTAAAGTTATTATTTGAATACATGTAATTAGTTTTCTTTTTTTAACCATACGTCTTTTCACTTTTCATGTAATTATTTATTTATTTTATTTTTCCATCAATTTTGTTCTGTAGTTCAAACAAAACCCAATAAATTTATTTAGCAAAAAACGAATAAATAAATAAATAAATACAGGCCACAACTGAATATGGACGGTGGTCTCCAAGTGGCGTTCTTCAAAATTATAATAATAAATAGACTTGGACCTAGTGTGCGCCATTGTGTGCAAGGTTTATATATTTACAATAACCACCTCAGAGGATACTCGGGATTATAGTTATTGGCTTTGTAATTTTTCAGTGATGCGAGCTGTCACTGGGGTGCTAATTTTTCAAAAGGTACAAATTAGTACTTATAAGGGTCCGTAATGGTCCCTCGAAAGTTTATATTAATTACTAAAAATTTAAGAGGAAAACTTTTTAAGTAATATATGTAACCTTGAGGTATTAATAAGGACATTTTAGGTATGTCTGTTTGTCTGTCTATCTATCCAATCCATCTATCTATCCATTATCTGTCCCTGAAAAAAAAAAAAAAACATAAATATTGTGAATAAAAAGTATTTCATCCCAAAAATTTCTAAAATTAACTGATGGTTGATTTCAGTGAGTTGTTCTGTAAAGGAATATGTCATTCATTTGGTTCTCAGAATATAGTTCTTTATTAAAAACACTTTACAAATAAAAAAAAAACTTATTTAGGATAGAAAAAACATTAGAAATTGCACATTTAAGTTGTTATCATTGACACAATTTTATGTTTTTGATTAATTTATAATTATGTTTCTGTCAGATCTTTTCACATTTGCATTAAATGCTATCTATCTATCTATCTATCTATCTATCTATCTATCTATCTATCTATCTATCTATCTATCTATCTATCTATCTATCTATCTATCTATCTATCTCTATCTATCTGTCTGTCTGTCTGTCTGTCTGTCTGTCTGTCTGTTTACATGTCTGTCTGTGAGAGGGAGAGATAGATTTTAGACTACATGAATATGTGTGTGCATAATTGTGATATTAATAAAAGGCGTCAGACATTGCTGTTGACCACACATGACTTTTATTGGCTATATCCGCATATGGTTTCAACTGACGATCATTTCTGTATAGGAGCAGTAAAGGACTACAAGTTAGTGAAAACAGTCAAATCTTTTCTTGTTCAAGACCCGATGTGAAAATGATCAAAAGAAAAATCAGGACATGAACAGCCTTGAGTTAATTCTCGGTACAACTCGCTGATAAAAATTCAATTCAGCACCGATAATCAATCGGATGTACTTTTATCAGCCTGTAATCTGACGTGCAGCAAACAGACTGATCTCTGTCTTCGGTGACCACGGCAAAATGTAAAACCAGTCCGAATGTTGAACAAGGCTGTTTCGTTTTGAATTTTCAACAAATCAGGCTTCTCTAGGAAGTAATCTCATGCATCGTAAAAAATACAACCCTCAGTCCTGCATTGTTGTTTCCACCGAGCAATTCTGAGAAAAGACATAGTGAAGCACTGTTTATCAGAAAGATTAAAGGGGAGATATTAAAGACTGCTGTGAACACTCACATTAAAGCTTTGTGAACAGACAATGCCAACCTTCACATTAGTACAATACCTAGGAGGCAAAATTATGACCATTCATCTGTCTGAGAATGGTTTTTATTTGCGTCTACCCTAATTTTTTTTTGACCTACTAATGGCCCTTGTGCTGTTTAGGTCTGGGTCAAATGTTGCTAATGTTACCTCATGCATTGAGCGTTTAAATAATATATCATTCACATACAACCTAAAATCTGCCTGAAATTATTTTTTTCCGCCAACGCTTTGGGTTCTGGGAAAAGTAACCGTGACTTAAAACAGTTTTACATTCAGACCAAACTAATACGAAACCATTATAGAGAGTATAGATGCAGAAAAATAATGCTTACATGTTATCATAACCACACATTTGACATGAACTGAACAGGTTAAATACATTTCAGTGAATCATGTGTTATGACTTTGGATGAACTGTGGAAGTTTTACGAGCAAACAGACATCATTACTGGTCAGATAAAGATGAAATACTAAACTGAATTTTTTGTCTTTCTATACATCACTCTAAACTCCTAGGCATATTTAAAACCAAAAACAAGGTGTCTCTGCTAAAAATATTAACTTAATCAAGGGGCAAAACACTTCTGTTCTGGCCTTTTGAAATATTCTGAATTATTTCCAGTCCTTTTCTGAAGGGAAAAAGCACTCAAATGTTGTTTCCAACAACATCAAGGATGTGAGACTGTCTGCGGTGGCATGTCATGTAATGTTGTTTTATTGTCTCCTGTTAAACAATACTTTGTGCTGATTGGGCGTGATCTTTATCATCATCATCATGGCTGCTTGCGCAGAGAGACTAGAAAGAATGTGGCCTACTATCTCTTCTATGGCTAACGCAGTTATTACAGTTATCGCTAGATACACTCAGTTTATGACTCTCAATGTAAGTGAGTGAAACCAGAAACAAGGTCATCATGTTTGACGTATATCAGTGGTGGTCATTTCTTTTAAATAAATAGTCTTTATGTCACTATTATGCCATGATGAACGACTGTGCAACAAAACCATCAGCATTTGTGTCACCTCACATACACCTATGCGTTACAGTACCATTCACATACAAATCAAGAAGATTGATCGAGTAATCATCATCATGTATGGTTGAAATGATTGAGGTGAAAAGGATGATGCCCTGACAGTTTTCTTATCAGAATAAGAACAAAAAATGTCACAAACAAACATTCAGCTAATGGCTAATCCAAAAATGTAAACATCAGAATCTCGCCTCGGTAAAATTCTGGATAGAAAATGTTATTATTAAAAAAACACCACATATTGTTCGCTAAATACCTTCTCCCGATTCCTCCCTATGTGTAGATCTAGCTGCTGCAGATCCCTAGCTCTGGTTTGTTAACTGTTTGATAAAAAACAGTACGAAAAATACTGCTGTATAAAAAAAATGAATCAAGCTCTCAAGTTTCCTCATGAAAATTGCACAGCATTATTTTTTTCAATCATTTCCTTCCTTCAAAAAAAGAAGCTGGTATTATAAGTGACGCCGCAGTTGCCCGAAAGGCACCTCATCCTTTCTTCTAAATCTCTTTCAGGTTTACTCACTTTCCCCAAAACTACAACTTACACTGCTGCACTTCTAATCCAGTTCCACTGGATCACTTATACCGTCAAGTCATCTGACCTTGCGCGACTGCTGGCCTTGCTCAGGCTGCTGAGCGGTCGTGTATCTTCTATCGTCTCGCTGGCCTCCATGTCTGCCTCCACAGCCAACTCGTCCTCATCTTCATCCCTGCGCAGAATTCCTGACGATGCACTCGGTCCAATCACGGTCGTCTGGGCGTAAGAGGGCAGCGTTTCGTCATACATCTTAGACATGTCTTTCTTAGGTGCCATGGCCTCGTCAGATTTCTCCTCAAATGGCTCATATGAAGCCGGCAGGCGTCCAGCCTCCATCCCCCCAACCTCAGTCAGAGGAAAGAAGTGCGACGTGGATTTGTCCTCCTCCAACAACTTGTAACCTTTGGCTTTCTGGATCGATGAGGCAGCTATGGAAGGCAATGCCTTTTCGGCTGCTCCTGGTCCCTCGACTTGCGGCCGCACCGGCTTACGAAACACAAAGTGGATCTTTTTTAAGCCTAAATGGCTGATTTCCACAAAATTGAGGAACAGTGAGACGCAGGCCACAGCTAACATGAAGATGATGAAAACGGTTTTCTCGGTTGGTCTTGAGACGAAGCAGTCAACCGTGTTTGGGCACGGCCAACGGCTGCACTTGTAGAGTGGCAAGATTCGGAAGCCGTACAAGTAGTATTGACCCACCACAAAGCCGATCTCAAAGAGAGTCTTGAAGATAATGTGGCAGATATAGGTCCTCAGGAGAGTGCCCTCCAGACGAAACTTCTTGCTGCCCTTTGTGCTCGTCTCCTTGGCCGTACGGACGCTTCCCTGATCAGGCGCCAGCGGCAGCCTCTCCTCGTTCTCTTGCTGCCGGTTGAGCTCAGCCTCCTCCCGTTCCTTACGCTTCTCCTCCATGTGTACATGGTGCACGGCGTGGCCCACGTACACTAATGAGGGTGTGGAAACAAAGATGATCTGGAGCACCCAGAGGCGAATGTGCGAGATGGGAAAGGCCTCGTCGTAGCAAACGTTCTCGCAACCCGGCTGCTGCGTGTTGCACACATAATCCGATTGCTCGTCGCCCCACACAAACTCTGCGGCTGTGCCCAAGATGAGGATTCGGAAGATGAAGAGGACCGTGAGCCACACCCTACCGATTACCGTCGAATGCTCATTTACTTCCTCGAGGATGTTGCCCAAGAAACTCCAGTCACCCATGGTTGACTGTCAGCACTGTGGAACAAACAAAAGGGATGTTTGAAAGCAGGCAGATAAGCTTTTTAAATTAAAAACTTAATAAGTTACACTCCATGATGTAAATCGCCTCCAAAATAAACAGTTGTAAACGTGTAGATTAAAAAGTTACTTGGTTTGAAATATCTGAAGCATTTGTTCCCTCTGATAGTTATCTAGAGTTCGAAAGATAATCAAATCCACTCTGAGCCAAACAAGTATCAAAACTCAACGATTTTAAATCCCACAAAAGTTACAAAAAATGTCTACAACTAAATTAAAATCATAGCTCAGGGTCGAAGGACGCTCTGTATAAAACAAACAGCAATATAGGTAAGTAGAATAAAATGGGCAACTTGCCACAGTAAGAGCTCCAGAGTATTTGTGTTCCCCCTTCTCTTGGCACACTGTGGTGTGAAGTGAACTTTTTGCTCTCTGGTTCCCACCTATGGCCTCCAATCCTTGTCGCCCGAATGAGCAGAAGTGACTGAATCCAGTCTGATGGTTGGTTTTTAGTTTGCTGCAATATTTAAGCTGGGAGCCAGACAGCCTTTATTCAGAGGGCGACGCATAGTGACGCGTAGTACAATAGGATTCACAAACACAAACGGGAATGTATGTGACACCGGCACTGGGAAACAGGCAACTTTAAATGTTTCAACTTTTAGACATGGTGCAAACGAAAATAATTCTGTGAGAAAACAAGACCGTTCGAGATTCACTTTGATTAGTTTGATTTAGCAGCGTTATCAATTATTGGATCCTATGCTCTGGTCACATTTCTCAGAAACTCTTTAACTCACAGGAAGTGAGCAATGAAGTAATGAAGGGGGCTTTTTATATTAAAGACAACATTAATATGTTCACATGTATGTTTCTACTGTAAAATGCAGCAGATCAATGCTATTCCAAATGCAATCACATCACATTGTTATTTTAAAAGAGTAGGAAAAGTAGCTTTAAAAAGCTAGCTAGCATTAGGCTAATTTGAATATTAACTACAATTATACTAATATAGTCCTTTGAACTTTTTCAAAATACCAATCCCTGTCAGATTGTTGCTAACACTATAAGATCAAACTCAACTCGAGAGAAATTAGTCTTGTTGTTATTATCTTTGTGAGACATAATAATGCATCAGGTCCTAAAGTTGATGATAGATTAGTGTTGTTAAATGAAACCAGTTTTAGTTTTCTTACATAAACGTCATGAGATAAATAAAAGACATAAATTGAAACGTTAAAATGTTTGTAAATGTATAACATTTAAATATAAAAGTTCAAGCTAACCTTAAATTATTATTATTTGTGAAAACTGCAACTAATAATCCCCCTCTAGACAATGCTTTAGCCTGTGTGGACCACTTTTTATCCAACTGGAATGTGCTCTAGAAATGACATCATGGACAAAGCCTTCCCATTGGCTGATACTAAAGAATGATGTTCAGTGGGTAGTTATACGGTGGTCTGGTGGGCGGAGAAAAGTAATTTGCATACACGTAAAACTACTAAAGTGAATCACAAGTAGGTATCTTATAGCTAGTGTACCAGATTTAAATGCTAACCCTAACCCATAGAGACCCGGCTGTATTTACTGAATTACCCAAGAAGGCAGTACAGATAAAATAATAACAATAATAAAAGATACCTATCTACTATTGTTTTAAGTGAAGAAAATAAATGGATCAATAGTGACTACTTAAATTCTCAGCTGTCTGGGCAAGATTTTAAGCTAGTCCGTATGGCTCACCAACTAGCCTCCACTTCTTCTAAAACCATCAAAACAAAGAAGGAAGGAGCGGCAAGATTAACAGGTCACCATTGGGTGATTTAAGCTGGTCATTTTAAAACATCTACTCACCCGATGTAGCATGACAATAAACAAACCATATATTAGCTTAAAAGCAGTTACTGTTAAAACAGTTTAAACAGAGTAGCTTAACAGCTAGCTCAACTAAAAGTTTGATAAACCCGTCCTGATGTTATAGCTTGACCCTGGAGCCTTCATTTAAAGGTGCTACTTGTTGATATTGCCAGCGCTGGCAGCCTAAGCCAGCAGCGGAGTGGTGAATGGGTGTTGGGATTTCAAACAAAGGCATGATGTCATGATGAAGTCCGCTGTGTCTATTAAACGTGCGCACTGAGGCGTGATCCCAGATTGTGCGAATGAAGCAGGCCCCAGGCTATGGCTAAGCATTGGGCCATCCCTCAAACAAAGTTATCTTACGCCGATCTGCCTACATGCTGGTGCACCACGTTTCCTGCTCCTAAGGGATGAATTAGCTGACAGCCATAAAACTACATAGGATAGTGCGCAAGGCTAGCGTTAGCCTATATGTAGCATTAGTCATTAGCAGGGGAAGTGACTAGCGGCAACAAATCATGTGTAATCTCAAACTCAGTACAATCTTAGTTTGTTGGATGACTAGTTTAGTTAGACAGTGTCAGTTTTTGTGGAAGGCCAGGTTTGTCTGATTGAAATGTATTGTAATATATTATTATATTTAGCTGGCAGCTAACTCTCTGCAACTCTCACATGGTTGCCCATTGAAGCTAAGCAAGGCTTTGCCCAGTCAGTACCTGGATGGGAGACATGGGAAAGCTAGGTTGCTGCCGGAAGTGGTGTTAGAGGTGTTAGCTCACCCTGCGGTCTGTGTGGGTCCTAATGCCCCAGTATAGCGACGGGGACTATATACTGCTTAGTGAGAACCTTTTTTCAGATGAGACATAAAACCATTAAATCCCAGGATGTCCTTCAAAAAAAATAGGGGTTTAACCCCAGCATCTTGGCCAAATTTGCCATCTGGCCTTTGTCCACCATGGCCTCCTAACCATCCCCTTATCATAATTGGCTTCATCACTCTGTCTCCTCTCACTATTCAGCTGGTGTGTGGTGTGCAATCTGGTGCAATATGGCTGTCCTTGCATCATCCAGGTGGATGCTGCACACTGGTTGTGGATGAGGAGAAACCTCCCCCCTCCCCCAATTGTGTAAAGCACTTCGAGTGTCAAAAAAAGAGCTCTATAAATGTCATTTACTATAGATTACTATAGTTTTTTCACCAGGGATTAGGCAGAGCCCCCTGAAACGATGGTTGTCAGTTTGCTTACAAACACACTTTTGTGAGGTTTAACTTATATACAAAGACATGTAAATTAAACCAAAAACAGGATATGATGTAACAAGTTGTGGCCATAAAAGGACAGAAATCTCAATCATAACTTATTTTGCTTGTCATTGTGGCAATGTTCAATTACAGTCCAATACTAGCTTTGGAAATCGATCTCATTGCAGCAAATCTTTCTTTGTGTGTGCAATGGAGGAATTCCTGCTACTATTTTGACTTCTCCACAATGGACGTCAGCGTTCTCCAGCCTCTGGCACCTATACTGCATCTCTGCACAAGAAGTTTGGCCAGAGGAGAAATGATCATGCCCAACTGAGGCTGGTTTCTCTTATGGTTTTTTTCCCCTTCATTTTCGTCAAATGGTTTTGTTCCTCGCCGCTGTCGCCACTGGCTTGCTTGCTTGGTTTGGGACTTGTGGAGCTGCGCATCAATGGATTTGCTCTTCAGTGTTTGGACTTTTTAGCAGTGAAAATTAAACCACACTGAACTGAACTAAACTGAACTTAAACCCTGAAAACTGGACTGACACAGTTTCGATTTACTAGAACTTCTATGTTAAGCTGCTTTGACACAATCTACATTGTAAAAGCGCTTTAGAAGTTAAGATGAATTGAATTGACTTCTTTAATACATTTCATAAGCTTGTCACAAGTTCTCGGCTACTTTTATGCTTTGGTCCAAACAAACAAACAGAGTGAACTGAACTAACAAGTGTAAAAAATTGAAGGTAACATCACATGGAATTTGATAGGTTGTAAATAACTGTGGCTTTTCCAATAATAGTCATTTTATCTAAGATCTGCCATGGTAAATTAGTAGTCTAAAGCAGTTCACATTTGAAGTAGATCAAAACAGATTTTCAAAGCTGTCCTAGGACAAGAATGGATATTGTTCAAAAGTTTTAAGACAACTTTGGTGAACGTTTTTGACCCACTTCAAATGACAGTTTACAAGTAACTCAACTCCAATCTCCAACGCACAACATATACCAGCTCCAACTATTCAATTTCACTGAACTCTCATACAGGCAATATTAACCCAATATTCCCAATTCAACAGAATATTTGATTGCTAAATATTGCTCCAGGCTCACACAGAACTCCAGCATGGTTTAACAGCGAAGCTCATCCTCTTGTTCTTCTGTGGTAATCCCCATTAATCTCTATTTCAGCGCCAGCCATTTGATGGGATCCATTGTTGGTCTCTCTTCACTGTTCTTTGTGCATACCAGAGATACCAGCTACAATAAGGAGGATTTACCTGATCCAGTTCACGTCCATTCCATGTGGGAGATTGAAGAGTGAATGAAGCCTTGTTGCAGACTTCCAGCACAGTTACTGTGAATGAGGTTATTAAACAGTCTTTAACATATCCTTGTGCACCACTCGAATAACCGATACACAGAGGAGACCAGTCTGCGGAAACCCTATCCACTAGGGTTTGTTTGAGCATAACATACTTCCACCCAATAAATATAAGCTTTATTTAGGGGGTTCAATCTCACTCACTCTCTGGGACACTACCTAGTCTTTCTTGGTTTCTGTAGTCATTCTAGCACAATTCGTGTGGCTTAATGATTGCTTCCAAGATCTGGAATGATCTGGAGGACAAATCACATACTTTGCAAAATCTGTCGCCATTGACTTGCTTGGTTTGGGACTTGAGCTGCGCATTGATGGATTTGCTGTTCAGTGTTTGGAATTTCAGCAGTGAAAATTAAACCACGCTGAACTAAACTAAACTGAACTATAACTCTGAAAACTGGACTGACACAGTTTTACAAGAACTAATTGCTTTGACACAATCTACATTGTAAAAGCCCTATAGAAATTAAGATGAATTGAATTGAATTATCTGTCTGTATATGTATTTACTGAATTGTTTGTATGTCTTTACTGTAAAATACAGCAATTTTCATGATGAAACTTTAAAATACAGTAACTGCATAACTGTCCTACAGTAATATACAGTTCGTATTACAGTGAACTACTCTGTATTTTACAAAACTTGTTCACATTGAAGCTTATTTTGATTCTGATACGTAGCCTTAGGTTTAAAATAGGTATTTTTCCTGGAAGTATTCTTACAAACAACTATCAAACCACAACCTGACCATGAGTCCAAGCCTTCCGTGCCCTTTTAATGCATCATTTACAAAACCGAATTGGCTAGAGAAAGGGTGGAGAAAAGGTGATCGATTGTTCTGTCCAAACTCAAAGGAAATGAATATGGAGACTTCCTGTGTGTGTACACATTGGATAGGGTACAGCTAGA